CCCTTTAAGCGCAGCCCTCGGCTAGCCTGAGACAGCATCTCCACGCTCTAAGTCCTCCTCTGATGCCCTGCCGGCACTGCTTCCGGCCATCCTTAAGCCCTGTTCAGGGTCCACTTAATGTGGACATGCTAGTTCGAATTAGCAAAACGCTAATTCGAACTAGTTTTTAGTTCTAGACGCGTTAGTTCGAATTAGCTTAGTTCGAATTAACTAATTAGAACTAAGTTAGTTCGAACTAACTCTGTAGTGTAGACATACCCTTATAGAGTTTAAAGAGAAGCTAGATAATTTCATGGAGGTTAGGTCCATAAAAGGCTATTAGCCAGGGGATCAAATGGTACGTTGTGCTGGCCACTGTCGGCAGACAGGATACTGGGCTAGAAGGACCTTTGGTCTGACCCAGTACGGCCGTTCTTATGTTCTTATGTTTTGTTTACATCATACAGCACAAATTTCTCCTGTAACGGGGTCTGCGACTGGGTTGCTTTGCATGCTTGTTTTTGGGCACCAAACATTTTGACCTCTAAGGCTGAGGCAGGAGTTACCCCTGCATTATGATTTAATTGTGATGATGGCCTTTTTAACCATTAGCTAAAGTCTGACTGGTGTGAGAGGTATTTCCTGCACTTTAAACCAGTGAATACCCTTCCTACTGTTCATGCCTCAGCTATAAAGCACACCCATTCGATTTATTTGGGAATCAGGAATGGAACGCAAAGGCAGTTATATAATCAGGAGCAAACATATTGGTGTCAGAGCCAATTTGCTGATTTTGGGATGCTTCTTTTTCTTTCGTGATTTCATAGCTGAGTAACGAGAATGCCTCCCCCAATGGGTAGGTCTGTGCAATGAAAAACTGTATGCGTGTAGCTTCACCTTATCCAAGTACATTCTAAGATATTGCACTTGGCAAAATGAGTGGGAGACCCCAATAGGAAAGAGACTCTGTGATGAGGTTTCCTCTGCATCCTCCTTGAGTCTGAAATGCCACTGGAGCAGTCGTTTCATGAGGTCTGTGCTTCTGATTCTACTCCTGCACAGAGACATTGCAGCGGCTTTTGATGCTGTTCTTGGGGAAATATCAGTCTGCTATCTCAGGAAATATCAGACCTAAGCACAGGAGGAACACAGAGATGCTGGTTCAGAGAAGGGTGGGACTGCATACTGTGGAGCAGTGATATCCTGATCTAGCCCTTACTCCATTTAGAACTACTGCTGGGCAGTTCTAAGCAGTAGCCCTTATATATGGCCGTAAATAGACCCTATAAAATGGAGGATGGGTGGAAGGAAGCTCCACTTTCCACTCCTTTTTTACCTCTATATTGGGAATGTGGTTAGTGTCTGATTCTTCAATGCTTTTACACCCAGCAAAGATTTACCCCAGGGGGGAGTTCTAATTTGCAGCTGGATAATGGTTCCTTTTCATTGAGCAGGACAATGGGCTGTAAACACACTGGAGAATCTGACCAACAGAGTTGGGGTGTTTTTTGTGGAATAACATTTATTAATCTAGGTTTTGGTGCTTAGATGCCTTAATGACCCAGTCATTAGAAACGGACAGAGAGACACAAAGCTCCCATCTGGAAGAGGAAGATACATAAATATTTAATTAAATTAAAGACAATATTCACTGACATTCACCAGTCTAAAGCATCAGGTGCCTCAAAAATCCCAAAGACAAGGGCCCTCAGCTGAGGAATTGGACACATTCACCAGTCTAAAGCATCAGGTGCCTCACAAATCCCAAAGACAAGGGCCCTCAACTGAGGAATTGAAGGGTTCAGCTCTAGGAATGTTCTTTAGTATCTCAGGCAGTCTGAATTTTCATCAGGAGACACATGAGAGAGAGTAGGTTACGCAGGAAGGTGGGCTTCAAACATGCATGTCTTTGTCCCCATGACCTGCACCACAAAACTCAGAGGTGCAGCACCGTGAGCACCCGGGACAGGACGTGTGCTGTGAAACTATTTACACAACTTATTCCTACCCTTGCAAGCATTCAAGGGCATTGGCAGTCTCTCTGCTAGGAGATGGACTGCACTAATAAAAAAGCTAACAATCAAGGGCATTGGCAGTCTCTCTGCTAGGAGATGGTCTGCACTAATAAAAAAGTTAACACATTCTGAACGATTATTTGTTTTTATAAATATTAAGAGCTCAGTTAATCAGCTTTACACACTTTGGACTCTGTCTTAAGAGGGAGATAAATCTGCTTTCCTCTCAACAGCTTCTCCCATGGACTCTGCTGCTACATGTCAGAACTTTGAGGAGAGGTTTCTTTTAGATACAGATCCACTTAGTTGAGATTAAGAGACATCCGCGCGAGAGAAGGAGCTGGTGTATTTAGAGTGGACAATGTATACTTAAGCTGCATTTATCACTGTAGTTTTGGCAAAAATATTAAGCATGGATGATACACACAGGTTAAAATGCATTTGTCATTTTATTATGAAAGCATTATAAATTGTACTTGCTGATTCTCCACATTAAAGAACCTGTGGGCATGACTGATCATTAGAGAATGATGTAATGCCTGACCTTGGCTCTGATTCAGTAAGGTGTTTAAGGACATGCCTAACTTAAATACAGAAGTCCCTCTGAAGTCAAGAGGTGATACCCTAACTCCATTGCAGTCAATAGGACTCGAGTAGATCCAGGGTTGTATCCAAGATATTCAAGCACAGCCTGATTTTGAAGTAAGAAGTACTTAAGCATGTGCTTAATTTTAAGCACATGAGGAGTCCTTTTCACTTCTTCCTGGGGAGCCCGTTTTTCAAAGAATGCTCCAGATCCTCCTTCAAGGAGTGGAGTGCCCTAAACGCCCCCCATTTGTCCTGTTCTGGTGCAGACAAGCACAGGAAGCACAGATGGGGCTTTGTGATGAGGTGTACCAACCCTGCACTGGGGCTGCAGGGGTTAAGCCTGGTTACCTGACTGAGAAGGCCCCGCCCCCACAGCCTTTCTGGGCATGCTCCAACCAGAGGCTAGTTATAAAGGCCTATGGAGCGGCTCAGTCTA